AGCGCTGAATGAGCTCATCTGAGAATCGCCCAGGCGCTTCTTCGCCTGCTCCAGGTCCGTCTGGCCTATCTGCAACATCCACGACATGGGGCGTGGCAAAGGAGAAGGTGGCGTCGGACACATCGATTTGTGTGCGGATATGCCGCTGAAGAGCCTGCGGGATCTTCAGAACTGCCGCTCCCTTGAGCAGCGTGCGACCCCACTCCAGCACGAGGCCGTCGATCATCCTATAATCACTGGCAGAAGGGATGAAGGCCTCGAGACCACTGAGTCCTGCTGCCTGCACGCGCGCCTGAAAAACAAGTAGATGTATACGTAGGGGTACATGTTTGACATACCAGAACCGTCCCATTGCATACCATGCACTCCTCATGTTCTTCTGTATTGCGTGCCGTTGATGTGCCAGGAGGAGGAGCAGGAGGAAATGGAGGACATGGAGGAAGGATACCTCCTCTCTCACCTTCCTTCCAAATTTCCTTCTTTCCCTCCTTCCTCCTTTCTCTTTCCTGCCCTCCCATTTTGCCCCATCCTGCTCCTGCCTCCCTCGTCATGTGACGGTCCCTTCGCCTCCACCCCGACCGCGTCTCGCCTGGGAACCTCGACCGGGTCGGATGGGCGTTTCAATGAATGTTGTCCATTTCCGCGTGGGTTTCGAGTGAAACCGGCATGGGCTACAGTCAGCCCGTATCATAAGGATGCACGAGAAGGATGCAGGAGCCTTGGCAGGCCATGTCGACACTTTGCGAGCGGGGCGCTGCCTGCGAAAGCGGCCAAGGCTGGGCCGATGACGCAAGGATGCAAGGGTACCCTTGGGAAGGCTGCCCATCTTTACTATGCGGGCACGATCCTCTAAAGACAGGACACAAACAGTACCTTTGACCTGGCAGGGTCGACCTGCTGATCAAGGCCGACTGTACTCGAGGGTGCAGGGGCTCGGGCGCCGACTGGGGCGTAGGGGACGGCGGGGGGAGAGGAATCGAAGAAACATGAGGGCTGGCGGCTTTCGCACCGCCGCTGCCCGGGGGTGGATGATACGACAGCAGGATTCAGTGCCAGAGTTGGAAAACAAGCAGCTGCAGAACGGAGAAGCACAGGTTCCAGACACCGTGCGCAAGGCCTTCCCTTCCTCCATGCCCCCCCCGCCTGCTCACTATAAGTGCTCCGCTCCCCTGTTCTCCGTCCTCTGTCTGCCCTGCTCGCTGCTCCCTCCCTCCGTCCCCTCGTTTGCCCTCATCCTCGATCTCTCCCTCTGCCCGAGGTCATCGTTATCCTCACCCGCTCCTCGTCCTCAGCCAGGCTTATCCGTAGGACGGGTCGGGCGTTTCGCTTCAATGTTCCTGAGCATTTTTGATCCTGAAGCTTGGAGCACCGATCGTTTTCAACATTGAAATCTCGCCATGACTCCGCCACATAGTCTCAACTAAGGGGATAGAGGGCGGGCGGTTCTTGAAATAGGGTTCTCGCTTTAGCAGCACGCGCTTTCGTTGAAACCTTGCAACAACTAGGTGGATATCGCTCCCTGTCACAATGGGGCTCTCGCCCCAACACCGCGCACATTCGTCGTACAAAGTTGCAACCGTTAGGATGATTGAGCACTGGTGCTTTTCAAAATGGGTGTGTCGCCTTGGCGCCGCGCGCGTTCGTTTCAAGAGTTTCCTGCTTGCAATTCGTTGCGAACGCTGGCAGCACATTTGACTTTAAAACCGAGCGCTCGCCTTACCGCGGCGCGCATTCGGCATAACATCTGGCCACAACCGGATGGAACACAGGTGGTTTGCTCATTCGGCTCTTGCCCTGCGCCGCGCATGTTCGCCAATGTTTTCGGCAACGGCAGGCTTTAAAGACCGTTCTTTTCTCAGTATGAAGCTACCGCCTCCATGCCGCGCGCATTCCTCTGGGAAGGGTGCATCCATTCGAAGAATGGAGCACAACAGGCGGACCAAATGAGGCTGTCGCCTTTCCGCCGCGCACGCTCGTCTCAAGGATTCGGCGCAACTACAACAGGCACGGGGCACATTTCGTTGTCAAGCTGGGATTACCGCCTTAGCTCGGCGTGCATTCGATTTAAACATCTCGCACCGGAGCACAAGCATAAGTTAGCACTGGGCTCTCAGCGCCGAGTGTGTCGTCTTGAAACATTCCAGCAGCTACCGAGATTGTGGGCACAAGTGGTTTTTGAAATGAAGCTCTCGCCCGAGCGCGGGGCACATTCGGCTGACAGGTTGCAGCTCTGAGGGCGGTGAAGGCTGGCAGTTGTCAAAACGTAGCTGTCGCCCTAGCGCGGCGTGCGATCGTCTTCATTGGTCACGGCGGACCACAAGTTGTTTTCAAGCTGGGCCTCCCGCCGTATCAGGACTCATGCTGGGTCGAAAGACTTGCAACAACTACACAAATGGACAGCATATAAGTGGTTTTCAAACTTGTGTGTGTGTGTTAGCTTTAGCGCCGCGCGCACTCGTCTTCAACAATTGCAGCCACTGCAAGGGTGAAGGGCGGATCGTTTTCAACATGGGGCTCTCGACTAAGCGCCGCGCAGGCTCGTTGGAACTATTGCAGCAAAGGCCAGGACGGAAGACATTTATATGTTAAGATGGGATGGTCGCTTGATACCTTTTGTTGTTGTGCCGACATATCTAGCAGCTGCCCGGGCCGAGGATGGTTGTCCTTCGAGCTGAAATATCGTTTTCTCTGGAGACGCCCGCGGTGCCCACAAGTGTAAAGCTTGCGCAACGCTTACAAAGGGATGAGGGACAGTGCTGTTTCGAAGCGGGTATGTCGTTGGGCACCGCGACGGACTGCACGATCACGATGAGGCAGCAGGGAAACTCTCATTCAAGATAGGGGCTCCCGCCTGAATGGCAAGCCCACTGGGTACTGGTCTGTCAAAGGGGGGCTCTTTCTTGCAGTGGCAGGGAAGCGTTGCAAGGACATGTGAGGAGGTTTACTTTGGGACGGGAGGCTGTGCTGCAACATCATGACTGAACTTGGGTTCGTTCGGGTCCTCCTCCTCCTCCTCCTCCTGCGGGGTCCGCGGCGCGGGTCTTTCCGCCGCCCGCGCGTGCGCCCGCACCGAGCACGACGAGCAACGCGACAACCCAGTAGGAAACGAAGAGCTCCGCCTCCTCCTCCTCCTCCTCCTCCTCCTCCTCGTCCTCCTCCTCCTCCTCCTCCTCCTCCTCTTGGTCTGGGCCAGCCTTGTCCTCTGGGATCGCGGAGGGGTCCGGCGGGCCCGTCTCCACAACTTCCTCGGCCCCTAGGCCGCTGTCGTCCTGCGGCAGCTGGGTGGGAAAAAGGGGGAACGGAAGGGTGGGGAAGAGGGGGGAGCTCCTGAGAAGGCGGGAGGGACACCTGACCTGAGAAGTCCCGCGAGGTTCTGAGAAGCCCTTGGGGAAACACCTGGGCGCTTCGAAGAGTAGGTGGCGACGTCCGAAACGAATCGATTATCCCGAATCGATTGGTGGCGGGGGTAACAGGGTTCGGACTCTGTTCGGCGAATTTCGAACCCCACCCCCGCCGCGCGCCGAGTTGCCTGAATCGTTGATCGGCGGGGTCATCTTTGGCGGGGCTGATCAAACCAAGAACCGTGGTGGCGCAGGCCCCAGGGGCCCAGCGACCAGAACACAAAGCCGCCTGGGCCCTCATGGACTGGATCTGGCCACTCGTGAGGCCCAGCACTTGATGGCTCCACGACCCGACCGCAAGGACCCCAGGCTTAGACAGCTTCCTAGCGGCGCCGACTAGTGTGAACTCGGGACCTCCAAAGACCTCACCGCACGGCTCTGGGACCTTCGAGGCTCCGGCTGCCCGAGGCCTCCTCGGAGAACGACACCGGTCCCGACCAGCACGGCGCGGGCACCCCGAGTCCCCACGGAGTCACCACACGGTGTGGTCACCGCACCGTTCGGTTGCCCCCTGGCTATCGGGCTACGGCTCAGCTCCCCGGCGGCCGTGCGGGACGATTCCAGCACCCCTGGAGCGCCCTCAAAAACCTTCACACATAGCCTCCTCCTCCTCCTCCTCCTCCTCCCCCTCCCCCCTCCTCCTCCTCCTCCTCCTCCTCCTCCTCCTCCTCCTCCTCCTCCTCCTCCTGGAGACTGCGCGACAAGTCTCCGAGCTCGGACAGCTCACCACGCGGTGCGGTCTCCGCGCAGCCCGGGGGGCCCCAGTCTGTGCGGGGGGCGGCGCGGCGACGGCCCGGGCACGCCAGAGCTGGCCGCGGCGGGGGGCGGAGAGCGGCGCGGGTCGGCCGCGGGCGCGCCAGCAGCGTGGCGATGAAAGAACAGCTTCCTCCTCCTCCTCCTCCTCCTCCTCCTCCTCCTCCTCCCCTCCTCCTCCCCTCCTCCCCCTCCTCCCCCTCGCGGCTCGGGGGGAGTGAGAGGGGGCAGGCCTCTTCAACAAGGGCTTCTCAGAAGCCTTCGGGCCTCCGGAGAAGTTGTCCGTGTCTTCGGGGAAAGCTTAGACAACTTCTCAGAAGGCCAGGGGCCTTCCGAGCCAGCTGAGAAGGCCTGCCGCCTCAGACTTCCCCCCTGGGCTCGTCGCCGAGAAGTGCAACAGACACCAAGGAGGTCGGAGCAGAGCAGAGCAGCACTTGTCCCTCAGGGTTGACGAGGGCAGAGCAGGTCAGAGCAGCACCTATCCAGAGACAGAGATCTCCATGGATATGTGGAGCACATCGTGGCTGCTCCAGAGCGAGCCAAGGGGCGCCAGAAGTCGTTAAGACCTTAATGTACAAGTGGCCCGATGAAATGCAACAAATGACGAGAAGGTCAGAGGCACCCAGAACATTGGAACAGCAACCGGCCTGGTGTACACGCACCGCTTGCAAGGGCACGAGAGGATCCCAGAGAAGCAGGATGAAGCCACCGCAGAAAGAGGAGCAGGAGGAGGAGGAGGAGGAGGAGGAGGAGGAGGAAGAGGAGGAGGAGGAGGAGGAGGAGGAGGAGGAGGGGGAGGAAGAGAAGGAGCAGTCGCACTTCTTCCCCGTGACCCCCGAGACAAACTTACACCGGTGAGCGGTGCTCGTACGGAGGGTTTCCTTCTGCTCGTGGCGCTGAACCGAAGCTGGCTGCTAGCTCTCCAGGTGTTCGGTGTTCTCATTCGGCTCCTCCTGGGTGGTCCATCTTCCGTACTCCGTCTTCCGCATTCCCTATCCGCTGTTCCGGCCCGAACCTCCACGTGCTGGTTCTCCCTCCTCCTCCCTTCCCTGCTGCTGCTCCCCCTCCTCCTCCGTTCTGTTCCTCCTGCTCGCCACTTTCTCCTCTAGCGCCTCCCCTTCCTTCTCATCCCTCCCGCCATACTCTTCTCCTCTACCTTCGCCTTAGCCTCTTTATCTTCGCCTCTTTCCCGTCCTCCTCCTCGTTCTCATCCAACGGATGTGTTTCACCATTTCCCTTCCCTTTATCTCTCCCCCCCCTGCCCCCTTCCAAATTTCCTCTCCCCTCCTCCCATGTTGCCCCCCACCCTCCTCTGGTGAGGAGGAACGGGAAGGTGGGGGATGAGGATGAGAAGCAAGGCAACGGGGATGAGGACATCCTCTTCGCGCTCGTTCCCCCACCGCGCCCGTGGTCTCCTCGCAGATGTGGAACTCGCACGGAGCCCCAGGGTGGAGCGCTGTGCTACCGTCGAGGATGTCATTAACACCTAAGCTGGGCGGCATCCTCCCCCCCTCGTCTTCGTCGTTGTCGTCGTAATCGTCCTCCTCCTCCTCCTCCTTCGTCCTCAAACGTCGGCCGGGCGCATTCCGTAAGCGTATGGGCTTAAGCCGGCATGTCCCTGGCGGCGTGGCTTGCACCTCCACGCGCTGAGTGAGAGACATCGTGGCTGATCGGCGCGTCTCGTGTGTGCGACCTCCTTGCGGTGACGAAGCGAAGCAACGAAGCAGGCTGTTTTTCGCCGTGCGCAAGGCGGTAGCATTGTTGGGGCCTTGTTTGTTGTCATTCTTCGTCGCGGGGCCTTGTTTGTTGTCATTCCCCTCATGGTCATTTTCGTCACGGTCCGTTCCAAGCTGCGGGTCGTGTGAGGTTCCGCGGGCTCAATCAAAGCCTCCTACCCGCCGCCTGGGCGTACTTCAACGTGCTGCCCGGGAGGGATCTCTCGGCCTGCACACGCTGTTGCTTGACAGTGGTCAAGACTGTGAAAGCTCTGGTGAGCGGCTGCTACTGCACCGCTCTGCAACTTCCAGATTCGTGGCCGTACCTTCTCCTCACGTCCCTGGCTGCTGGTCAACTTTGGTGGAAACTCGCTCTGCATCTTCCATCGCCACGGTCGGAACGTATGAGCAACTGAACATGTTTTCAATTGGTGGTGCAGGCATGGGCGGTACAGTCGGACCCAGGCCAGAAGAACGTTCCTCAAGAACATTGGACCCTCTGTGGGTCCAAACAAACAGGACATCCAACGGATACCCTCCCCAATATGCACAAACACCTCCAACACACACGAAGAACGCTAGGGTATCCTCCCGGACACGACCTCGATCTTATACCTCTATCCGACTGTATTGTGGTGGCTTCGTTTATGGTGTACGTGGGATTCACTGCCCCTGCCTGGACGCGGTCTTCATCTGCTGGCTGTTGCCGCGCACTCAGAATACAAGCAGCAGGCGAAGCACAACAGTTCTTCGCTACCTTCCTCCTTTTCCCCGCGTCGCTGGAGAAGCTCCTGGGGTGGCTTCAGTCTTGTGACCCAGTCACGAGACACTATCATTACCATTCTCCTCCTCCTTCATCAATGCCCCTTGGAAGTACCTCCTGCGTGCAGTATCACCGCGTCTCGCCTGAGACGTCATCACCTCACCGTTTGTCGTTCCCTACCTCACCGTCGACGACCCTGAAGCTTGAATTCTTCATCACTTACAAGGATGGAGACGGAGGGACAGGTCGGTTCTAGCGCTGCGCGCTTCGCCGTGAGAGCTTTCAACAACTGCCAGTACGGAGGGGGCGGTTGTCAAAGTGGGGCTCTCGCCTCAGCGCCGCGCGCATTCGCATTGACAACTTGAAACACTTACAAGGGTGATCAATGGTACCCTTGCCAACACGAGACCACCGCCTCAGCGCCGCGCACATTCGCCTGAAAGCCTGCAATTGCACGGGCGGCATGTTTTCATAATGGTGCCCTCGCCTCAGCGCCGCACGCATTCGTCTTACAAGTTTGCAACATCTGCTTAGACGCCCACCCTAGCGCGTCACACAATCGCCCTATAAGCTTGCGCAATTCCGTATAATGGAGGATGGGTCTTTTGCGAAACGGGGTTCTGGCTTGAGACTTCTCCAAATCAGTATTGAGGGCGAGGAGCCAGAAACTTGAACAGGCGTAACAACTGCGCGGATGTAGTGAGGGTGGCTCCTTATCAAACAAAGCCCTCGCTCGATGCTTCGTATGAGTCCATCTAAGTGTAAGTTCGTGAGGCAATGGTACGGATAAGGATCGGTTCCGTTTAACAATGGCTCGCGTTTGGAACTTTTTGACTCGACCCTTTCGCAACTCGCACTCGGGCGTGAACTGCAGTTCCTTTGAAACATGGGGCTCTCATCCGAATGGCAGGCTCATGGGGAGCTCGTCTTCCAAAGGGGGGCATCTTCTAGTGTAGCGGAATACGCGTAGGGATGTGCCAAGGGGGGACTTGGGACGAAAGCGTGTACTGCAACATGGTTGGTACATCCTCATCTCTCATCGTTCCCCACATCCTCCCCTGATGTTTCCTCTTCCCCTCGCCGTTCTCCTCCTTTGAATTCCTCCCCCTCCCCCTCCGCTCCCACCGCCCCCCTCTGTCACCAACGCCGCCTCCTCCTCTCTTCTCTTTGGTCTCTCTGCCCCATGCCCGACCGAGTCCTATAAGGGGTAGGGACGAGCTCGAGGCTGGTTCTCGGGGGGCCAGCCGAGACGGCGGCGAGCCCCCCGCCCGGCACACCTCCGCCCGTGATGGATCCCCTCCCGTCCCCTCCTCCTCCTCCTCCTCCTCCTCCTCCACCTCCTCCTCTCCTCCTCCTCCTCCTCCTCCTCCTCCTCCTCCTCCTCCCGCTGTGCTGAGGCCGTCGCTGCAAAACAGGGCGCCGTTCCTCAAGCTGGCCTCGGTGCGGACGGCATCGGCGAGGGCAGAAGGGAGGGGGCGGAATGAGGAGAGAAAAGACGAGGAACAAAAAAGAGGAGGGGAGGAGGAGGAGGAGGAGGAGGAGGAGGAGGAGGGAGGAGGGAGGAGAGGAGGAGGAGGAGGGAGGAGGAGAGGAGGATAGAGGGAGGAGGGAGGAGGAGGAGGAGGAGGAGGAGGAGGAGCAGGAGGAGGAGGAGATGGAGGAGAAGGAGGAGGAGGAGGAGTAGGAGGAGGAGTCAACGGAAAGGAATGAGGAGGAGGAGGAGGAGAGAAGTGGAAGAGAAGGTGGAAGAGAAGGAGGAAGAGGAGGAGGAGGAGGGATGAGGGTGAGGGTGAACGAGCAGATAGGGGCCCGGGGACTGGAGAAAGGAAGCCATGTGTGGACAAAGGCATGTGGGACGAACAAACTGATAACCACAGTGACGCCGAAACAAACGCAAACAGAAACACACACACACGACATTAACATGTATCTAGTATTGCTCGTTCGAACCGTGAGCGGGCCCGAACAAATCGACCTTCCCAAACGTCCTCCCACATCCTCCAAATCCTCCTCCTTCTCCTCCTCCTCCTCCTCCTCCTCCTCCTCCTCCTCAACATCCTTCTCTCTCATCGCGGGATGGGTCTGCCTATAAGATCCGACGAGGGAGCGACACGAGACGGCAAGGTGCGGTCAGATTTGCATCGAGACATCGGATCGGATCTTGCATCGAACCGGGCCGCATCGGCGCGGTGTCGGAGTTGAATCGAATCGGCCGCGCCAACATGCACAACAATGCCACACACACGTCGGGCCGCATCGGAACGCCAGAATCTCGGAATCGAACCGGATCGAGCCGGCCCGAAATCGATCCGATTCGGTTCGAAATGAGCCCTGGCATGCCTTCTCGTGCTCGATCTCCTCGCTCGGCTGGATCCACCCGTACTTGCCCTTCCACGCGGTCACGACGCCGCTGAACTGCGCGCCCAGCAGGAGCGGAGTGAGGGCTGCGAGGGCAGCCCTGCAATGAAGAGGCGTGACGGGGATGTGTCGAACAGGAAAGCCCACGATGGTGGAGAAGGCGGCGAGGAGAGCTCGGCTTCGGGGCAATGTCGGCTTGTGCAATAAGACGAAGGTGAGGGACGAGTACAAGGAGACGGACGGGAATCCACAATAGCCACCCGAAACACGCTTTTCTCTCCCTCCTCCTCCAACTCCTCCAACTCCTCCAACTCCTCCTCCTCCTCCTCCTCCTCCTAGAAGGCGGCCAGGGAGCAAGAGGACGCCCACGCAGGCTGGGCCCACATCATCTTCTAGGAGGCCCGACCAGCTGCTCAGCTTCTCCTTTTCCAGAAATGCCTCCAGAGACCCCCTGCTCGGCCCGAGGGGGAGGTGGTGTGTCGCGCGCCACCCCACCGAACACACTCAGATGACATCGAGAAAGGCTGGTCTCCCAATCCGGCGTTGCATCATCCTCCCTCGCTCCACGACCCCTCTCCCGCTCACGCAACCAGCTTGGAGCTGGCTGAGGGGTCTGCGCCAGATGGGCACCAGCAAATCCAATCATGATTGGAAGGAAAGGTGCATCCGCAAGTTTGGTACCCAGCTGGAGAAGGCTAGCCCCGAGGGGACACATAACGAAGTCTGTGCACAGCGGGGCCACTCCCCCCCTCTAACGCCTGGAACCGGTGAGATGCCCCACCTCAGCCCCCCAGCAGGCTCCAACCTTCTCCCCCCTCTACCCTCCTTCCTCTCTCCCTTCCTCTACCGTCATCTGCTCCCCCGTCCTCTGCCCCTGAGGAGGGTGCCCCAGGGGGGGTATCCCCTGGGGGTCTCTTGGACCGAGTGGCGCCGTGGCGTTGCGGTACTAGACCCCCCGCGACAGGTGGTGAGTGTCCCCCAACCATCCCTGAGTGGGAGGTGCCGCTAAAGAGGCTGCGCCCGCGGCCTCACCCGATGCTTACCCAAACCACCACCACCACCACCACCACCACCACCACCACCTCCCCCCCCCTCACCGCCTCCCCCGCTCCACACGCCCCCCTCCTCCCGCCCAGCACCGCGATTGGGGGCGGCGCGTCCTGCCTGTCGTCCTCCTCTTTTCCCTGCTTCGCACACTCCTCTTTCTCCTGCTCCTCGCCCGTCCTCGCTCTCGCCCTCCACTTCCTCCTCCTCGTCGTTGCCGTTCCCCTGCCCCTCGTCGCTGCCCTTTCCTGGAAAGCCTTTCCTCTTCCTCCACCACCACCACCACCTCCTCCTCCTCCTCGTCTTCGTCCTCCCTTTGCGCTGCCTCCTCCTCCTACTCCTTCCTCTCCTCCTTCACCCTCACCTCCTCCTCCTCCTTCTCCTCCTCCTCCTCCTTCTCCTCCTCCTCCTCCTCCTCCTCCTCCTCCTCCTCCTCCCCATCCCCCTCCTGCTCTTCTTCCTTACTCTCCTCCTCCGCCTTGATTCACGCCCTGCCGCCCACCAGGTGGCTTCTGGAACCTAACGTACCTCGGACGGTCGCCCTCCCCCCCCCCCCCGGAACGTCCTCGGCAAGGCGCACCTGACGGAAGGCACGCCCGAAAGTCCCTCCCATCCCGTCCACGCGGCCTTCTTCGGAGGCCCCCTGGCCGCCCGCCCGAGCTTGCGGCGGCGAGGCGCCGCGGCGGCGGCGGCGGCGACGGCGGCGACGACGACGACGACGACGAAGACGAGGCGGTGACGACCACGCAGCGAGGCGGCGAGGCGCGGCGGCAGGCCTTCTCCGCCGACAGGCGTGTTCGGGGCAGGGTGTGCCCTGGCGCGGGCGCCAGGCGGCGGCGGGCGCGCCGGCGGATGCTGACGCCGGCGCGGTCTCGCGTGGAGGGGGCGGAGCTCACCACGCAAAATGTGAGCCCCCGAGGCCAGCTGCCTGATGAACGCGCGGCTGACATTTTCATTGGTTGCGCGGGATGTGGGAGATGGGGGGGAGCGCGGGGGAGACCAATGAGGACGAGGACGGGGACGCGGGCACCGCGCAGCGCGCCCCGGAGCGCGCCAGTTGGCGGCGACGGGCCGTCGCCACCACGAGCTGCCCCCCCATCGGCCAGCCAGCCCCCTGAGGGGGCCCTGCTCAAAACGACTCTGGACGCAAAATGTGAGCAGAGCATCGTTGCCACTGCAGCTCGTGATTGCACATGAGTTGCATGAGTGGCTGCAAGTGCGAAAGTATGCATGAATGCATCATTGCGTGAGTGCGTTGCGAACCGCGGCCACCGAGGACCCGATCTAGAAGTCGCAAGACGCGAAGACACCTCGGAGGATCGCGCGCCGCATCGGCGATGCATCGGCGATGCACTGGCGACGTCGGCGCCGTCGGCGCGGAGAAAATCAGAATCCACATCGAGCCGCACCGCCGATGCATCGACGATGCGGCGCGATGCACCGACGCCATCTACTCTAAACCCCACCTAGGAAGTTCAGGGAAGAACAAAGAATCCTTGGAGACCGATGCGGGCACGCGGGTCCGGGTCGGCAGGGGGAAAGCACCTGCCCAGCCACGTTCGTGGTGTAGTACTGACTGTACATGCGTGAACGCGAAGATCATTTTTAAACTCACAAGCGTCACGCCCAGCTTTTCGCCAGCGTGGCAGCGCGGGCCACCTCTTCTCTTTCTCGGACAGCGGGGCGGGCCGACAAAGAGAAACGCGGGCAAGGCAAGGGACAAACACGGGCAGGACGGCGAGGAGCCGAGGAGCGAGAAAGGGGGGGAAGCGCGAGAGGGAGGGAGGACGACAGGAACGGACAGACGGAGGGACGGGGAGACGGGGAGGGGAAGCCAAGGAGGGAGAGAGCGGAAGAGCACACAACGCACAGGGGCAGGGAAACACAAGGGCAAGCGGCAAGGGAAAGACACATAGGGGCCCTGGATCAGAACGAATCTGGCGCGCCCGTCGCTCTCGGGCTCCCGCGCCCCCCCCCTCGAGAGGTCCCAACTGCCATGCCTGCTGCATCGCGACGACCATGGGGCTGTGAAAAGAGACGCGTCCGGAGTTGTTGTTGTTGTTGTTGTTGTTGTTGTTGTTGTTGTTGTTGTTGTTGTTGTTGTTGTTGTTGTTGTTGCTTTGTTGCTGTGGTGGTGGTAGTGGTGGTGGTGGTGGTGGTGGTGGTGGTGGTGGTGGTGGTGGTGGTGGTGGTGGTGGTGGTGGTGGTGGTGGTGGTTGTTTTTTTGTCCAGGGCGCGCCTTTTACTCGAGGAGGAGCCTTTTACTCGGGCGTGGCCCGACGGTGCAGTTCTGCGGCGGCGGGACTCTCGCAAGCGAAAGGAATACCCGCGGGCACCCCCACCGAGCAGCCTGCACCATGCGGGCGGGCGCCTCTCGGTCCAAAATGGGCGACTCGGCCAGCAAACAACTCACCAGTCGGGGAGGACCTCAAGGTCCCCCAGCTTGACGTCCAGGGCGAAGGCGCCCAACGGAGTCGGGGCTACGGGCCCCGAACCGAATGGAAGCTTCGTCCCAGTCCGTGGGTGGTTCCCTCCCCACAGGCGGTCGAGGCGCGCTCGCCCCGAGGAGGAGGAGGAGGAGGAGGAGGAGGAGGAGGAGGAGGAATAGGAATAGGAGGAGGAGGAGGAGGAGGAGGAGGAGGAGGAGGAGGAGGAGGAGGAGGAGGAATAGGAGGAGAGGAGGGGAGGAGGAGGAGAGGAGGAGGCGGAGAGGAGGAGGAGGAGGATGCTCCTCGAACCACTGCACGCCTCCACCCTCCCAAAGTGGCCGCTCTACACCCGAGAGGCCCGGACAATCTGAGTGCGAACGGCCCGTGGTGCATCCTTGGTGCGCCTCCCCTTGGTAGGCCCGGGTTCCGTGACTGCTGCATCGCGATGGTCATCGGACTCCTGCTCCCCTCCTCCTCCTCCTCCTCCTGCTCCTCCTCCTCCTCATGCTCCTATTGTTCCTCCTCCTGCTCCTGCTCCTGCCCCTGCTCCTGCTCCTCGTCCTCCTCTTCCTCGTCCCTCCTCCTGCTCCTCCTCCTCCTCCTGCTCCTCCTCCTCCTGCTCCTCCTCTTCCTCCTCCTCCTCCTCCTGTTGTCCCTCCTCCTGCTTCTGCTCCTGCTCCTGCTCCTGCTCCTCCTCCTCCTCGTCCTCCTCTTCGTTCTCCTCCTTCTCCTGCTCCTGTTGTTTCTCTTCCTGTTCCGACTCCTGCTCCTGCTCTTCCTGATCCTCCTCCTCCTGCTCCTCCTCTTCCTCCTCCTGTCTACTCCCTCAGAGCGTCTACAATCGGACCCAGGCCAGAAGAACATCCCTCAAGAACATGAGACCCTCCGTTTTCCAAAACACACAGAACAACCAAGCTGGGTAGTGTCCTCTAGATTCACAAGGACATCCAACGAGTACGCAGAACGCTAGGGTACCCTCCCCGAAGCGACCACGATCTTATGCCTCGGCCCGACTGCACTCCCTCAGAGCGGACATTCTACCCGAGAGGCCCCGACCATGTGGGCGCGGAGGTCCGAGTGAGCATGAGCACAAGCGAACATGGGTGTGAGCGAGTCCGGATACGAGTCTGAACATGGGATGGCCCAAGTTGCTCAAGCGAACTGAATCTCAGTGAGGGCGAATCGGAGTAAGAGTGAGCCTGGATGTGAGTGAATATCCATGTGAATGAGTCTGAATGCGAGTCAGAGCAGGAGTGGGTATGAGTGCGAGTGATTCTCAGCATGGGTGAGCCTCAGTGCGTTTCCGAACACGAACGGGCATGAGCACGAGTGGGGGGAGCGGGCGGGAGAGAGAAGGAAGGACGGAGGCGGAGACACCACACGAACAGCAATAACCCCCAGCCTTATGGCAGGCAAAAGCAATATTGGCACAACGCCCAACAGCGAACGTCGCCCAACATCGATAGCCAGGCTGCTGGTGGGCACGCGACTTCCTCCCTCGGGTAATCAGCGTCTGCGGCGGCGCTGACAGGGAGTCCTGCCCAGAGTGGGCAGGACATGGTGCCGGTTGTTTCCCCTCTCCGACGACGCACTCTTTTCAGGACGGGGGCCCCCAAGGGGATCTCGACAGCTCCCCTGCGGCTAGATTATCATCCCGAGTAGTTGTTTGACTGCCTGGGGCTGGCAGCTCTGCTCCCCAATGCCGAACACGACGAACGACGGGCCGCAGCGATTTGTGCTGCACTCCCCCACCCTTTGCGCGCACCCACCTCGATGGTGCCCACAGGATTCGCAGGGCCGGCGGGAATTGGAGGCTGGGGAGTCTGAACTGGATGGACGTCGAGGGAATCGATCAAGACAGGGGGGATGAAGGACAATCATGTCTGTTCAGAATCGGTCCCCGAATCCCTCCCGGTGTCCATCTGGTGCAATCTTCCGCCCCTGGGGCCGGACAGCGGCACCCGAACAGGAAGGGGCAACACTTCCCCGAGCCCACAACCCTCGAGCCTCCCCCCCACAACATCCTGCTAGCCAGCACCAGTGCTGGGCCATCTCAGACCCCCAGCGGACTCCGAGCGCCGCCGCCCGAAGACCGCCCGCACGGGGCCGCACGGGGGAACGCCAGCTAAGACGAGGCCAGGACGAGGATCAAACTCGGATGAGGATCAATCGATGATCTCCGAATTGCAGCGGTCCTGGCGGATGTATCGGGCGCCGCGTCCTTCTCAGAACGCTCCGGAACGCTCGGAGAGCGCTCTGGAACGTTCCGAGAGCGTTCCGGGTGGTCGTGGACCCCCTTCGCGGAGGCTCTCGGGGAGGCGGACGAGGACGAAGACGAGGAGGAGGAGGAAGAAAAAGATGACGACGAATATCATAATGATCCCGAACGCTCTGGAGCGGCTTTATCCTCGTCCCGGCCCCGCTCGACGAGCGCGCTCAGCACCCGCTCGGAGCTGGCGGGGGGGGGGGCGCCTTGCGGCTTCGTGCCGTCCTTCCCTTTGGCCTCGGGGCAGCCGCGGTGCGCGGACGGCCGAGGGGGAAGGTGGCAGAGGAGCGAGAGAGGAGGTGGGGCGACAGAGGGGCGGGGGACACGGACGGAGGGGGGGGGGCGGGGGAAAATCGGGCATCGGAGAAAGACAGACCGAGAGAGAGAGAGAGAGAGCTGGAGGAAGAGAGAGGGAGAGAGAGGAGGCGGGAGAAAGGAAGCGAGCGAGGAGGAAGAGAAGGAGAGAGAGTCATATACGTCTATTCATATCTAGAGAGAGGGGGGGGGGGTACATGTGCATACATGTGCATTAAAAACAACTGCATACAAACACATCTCAGGAAGAGAGACCCATACCCGGCATGCATACATGCAAACATGTGTATATATACATATAGCACTATGAACACACATACATGTGGAAGTATAGGTTCTAGAACCACGCGCCCGTTTCGCGCGCGCTCAAGTTCTAGCAAACCCCAGCCAAGCCCTCGACAAACATACACTTGCATATACATATATTATATATGTATACATGCGACTCCGCACAAATATCGAACACGACTTGAACAACTGCTGGAACATGTGCAAGTAAAACACGGGTTGTGTCCATGCCAAACAGCGCCAATGCACCGCATTGCATGCACAGCAACGCAACTCAAACACATTGCAATTCGAAGCGGCGTGGCCCAACGCAACTGCAATGGCAAAACAACGCAGTTCGACGCAACGCAAACACAACGCAACTGCAAACACACAACGCACTGCAAACACGACACACACACGCCATCTAATGCAAGATGAAACGCCAACAGCTATGTGCAATGCAATGCAACTCACATCGAAACAACATCACGTACTTCAATGCAGCACAACACAAGGTAAGTCAACAACGGCACGCCGCAATACAGTGCGAAGCGATGGCCAATCAAGAAACACAGTGCCACGTAAACAATCCCATGAACCCGAAGAGTTTTGGGGAACCCGATGAAAACAAACAACGATTGATTCAACAAACAAAACACCTCAAACCCCACGCGTCGCGCATTGCCCAGAAACGGGAAAACGGACAGCACCAGCCAATAGTGACCTGAAACCGCCAAGGACGCTAGTCCTAGCTGCCGCAGCTAGGCGAGAGAGTGGGGTCAGGGGAGAGGAGAAGCAAGGACACCGACCAGGGCAAGCTGGACATCTCGCGCGGACATGCTGCAAACTCTGGCCACCATGGCCAACGCGCGCCCTGACAAAACGATTATCCGTGGGCCTCCAAGAAGAGCCATAAGCTTCGAAACCCAAAAACAAAACGTTCCTACCCCGACTGAGTGGCCAGACCAGCGCGAACGGAAGCGGGCCTGAGGCGAGGCAGCCAGCATGCCCCGGCCAAAAGAATGCTGCGCGACACCCCCCGCACTTGCCAGCGAGACGGAAAGACAGCAGACGAAGCTTGGAGCGCATTGTTCGCGCCTTTTCGTATGGAGGTTGGGTAGAACAAAACGCCCCCCCCCGACCGTGCAACTAGGAAGGGGCCGATGCGTGACGGGCCACGGCCACCAAGCGCACTGCGCGCGCGCCACGCGCGCCATGCGCAGGCATCGCACCCGAAGCGCTAGACGCTCGCAACGAGCACGCCGCGCCATGTGCACCTGCTGAGGAGGCACCACAAGCGCGCCAGCTACAGAGCGAACGTTGTCTGCAGCAGGTGGCGCTGCGACGCACAGCGAGAGCAGCTGTGAAGACGTGGGCAGGGCGAGAAAAGGCGCGTCCCTTCCGACCCTTCAACCGGGGCCGACTTGGGGGTGTTATGAGGCCATCTTGGAAGCCTGTTGGGGCGCGTTGGGGCCCTCTGTGACGGCCTGGGCGTTTCCGAAAGCCGTCTATGGGGCCGCTTTGGGCTGTCTGGGGCCGACCTGGGCTCCTGAGAGCCCCTCATGGGGCCCCTTAAGGGCCCTCTGGGGACGTTTAGAACCGCTCTCGGGCTGTTTGCGGCCCCTCTTGGAGCCTGGAACCTTTCTGGGCCGAGCTGGGGGCACGTTGACGGATTTTCGGGAGATATTGAGAGCCGACGGGGCCGAACAATTACTGATCCCGTCCCTCCTGAGGCCAATCTTAGACATCTCTTGGGCCATATTGGAAGCGTCTCCGCTGTCCCTGGGCGCTCTGGGTTCAACTGGAACGTCCACTCGGGCCGCCCCAATGCTGCCTGGGGGCCGATCAAGCGCCACTTTGGCCGCAGGGCTTCACGCAGGCCCCGGGGCCAAACTCATTACGCATGCATGGGGGAATTTAAAAAAGCGTGCCCCCCCAGGGGGGGGCCTGGCCGCCCGCGGTGGATGTTATGTTCATGCTTATGTTTATGTTTATGTAAATGTATAGGAATATGTTGATGTATACGTGAATATTTGTACACATACATACACGCATGCATGCATACAAACATCTGTACAAATATGAGTGCCTCTCCAAACACACTCGTTATTTAGTTTTCTATTCGTTGTTTTTATTATCCCTCTCTCTCTCTCTCCCAGACACACGCGCTGACACGCGCACGCACGCGCGCGCACATGCCAACTCTGTGTAAGTCAGCGGCGCAGAGGAGGCTCGCGCGCGGTCGGCAAATGGAAATACCAATTGCGAACGAACTAAGAGCGAATGCGCCGTGACAAAATAATCCAGCCATGGTCATGTAGAGTGGTGATGGGAATATGGGGCACTGTCAAGCCAAAATTCAGGGGCCAACCGTCCCGCGGAACGTAGGCTCGACGACAGGAGCTGAAACGCAAGCAGCAGCCTGGTGCGAATTCGCCAACGCAGCGGGAAAAAATTGCAACGCGCACGCATGCGCGCACACACACACACACAAACACACACAAACACACACACAAACACACACACACCACACACAACACAAACACAACCACATCCACAGGCACAGGCACAAGCACAAGCACACACACGCACAAGCACAAGCACACACACACAAACACAAACACACACACAAGCACACACATAAACACAAACACAAACACACACACACGCACACACAAACACAAACACAACAACAGACACAAACACAAACACAAACACAAACACAAACACACAAGCACACACACACTCACCCACGCACGCACACGCACACACAGGCGCACGCGAACACGCGCACGCACACGCACGCGCGCACACGCACACGCACACGCACACGCACACGCACACGCACACGCACACGCGCACACGCGCACACGCGCACACGCGCACACGCGCACACACGCACACACGCACACACGCACACACGCACACACGCACACACGCACACACGCACACACGCACACACGCACACACGCACACACGCACACACGCACACACGCACACACGCACACACGCACACACGCACACACGCACACACGCACGCACGCACACACGCACACACGCACACACGCACACACGCACACACGCACACACGCACACACGCACACACGCACACACGCACACACGCACACACGCACACACGCACACACGCACACACGCACACACGCACACACG